ATATATATATATATGTGTATAGCTGATGACAGTTTGCCATTGAAAATAGTAACATTCCGGCTACTCTGATGTAAGCCTGCCATCCGATACACCACGTTTTTATGCCAAATTTATGATTCACCCCTCTTTTCTAGGGATAGTGTAATATTTAGACATGAACATTTCACAACAGCAAAGTATTTCTAAATTATGCACGTCAATACTGCGAAACTTTTTAGTTCAATCATGGCATGATTCTTCGGTTCAGAGCAGCAGGAAGAGAAGATTAGACAGTTTGTGGACAGAGGTACTAACTGGCCTCGATGGCTTCCTGCGGGAAGTGGAGTTTCTGTGTTAAGGGGATTGAAAGCCTTTTAAGGCATAAAACGCCATAAACAAATATATATATATATATATATATATATATATATATATATAAAAAGTCTAATTCAAAATATATTAACAGAAAATATAATATATATATATCAATGCCACTAAAATAACACAAATACTAAAATGATAAATATTAACTAATTTAAATAAACGTTTACCATTTTTGCATTAGAATAATGAGACTTGGAGTAATATGCATTTGCTTAATTGCCATGAAACAACATAAAATTGCCATTTAAAAAAATAGTTTGGATATATAATACAATTTTCGTACAAATGTAATTTTGTATTTCTTTTGTTTGATTTGGGTTTGAAATGTGACAAGTTCTTGACAGATTTCATGATATTGACCAATTACTGTAAGACTAACACAGCTTCTCTCAATAAAATATACAATTTCCATAAAAGGCTGAGGACTTTATGATATCTGAGCTGCATGATTGTACATCCATAATGAGTGCTATAAACTGTTTCTTTACAGCTTTAGCACATGCACACTCACGTTCCAACACAAAAACAGCATGGGCATTGCATATGCTCTGCATGAATTTATATTCACCTCCCATTTCTACTGCTGCAATCTAAAACACAGCAGAGCATTCATAGCAGCGTTCAGCATTACTGCCCCTGAACCTGCAGAAACCCTTCTAACAAAGCTCTCATAAGTATCGTGCAGATGGTATGCAAACCAAAAAAACCCCCAAAAAACTTCATAATCAGTGCATCAAAAATCTGTGCATTTTTCATAACTTCTTGACAGATTTGTCTACTAAGAAGTGCCTACTAAGGTCAAAAAAAAAGTTAATGCAGCAAAGAAAAGAGAACTAATTAGTCTCTCTCTCTGTCTCTTATCCTCTCTCTCTTTCTTCGACTGTAATTCCATCCCTTTCCCAGAACAAATGCACTGTCAGACCATCAATCAACTTGATTGACAGGCCTTCCATCCAATATTCACAAGTTGTCCAATCTGGGCATCTACGCCCTGTCCTGTTTTACCATTGGCATAGAGATGTGCAGTATTTCTTCAGAAAAATCATCAAACACATACACAAACATGAAGTAAAGAGTGTGTTATTAATTGTCGACTGCTTTCAGATATAAGCTTCTCCAAACACTAGCGACTGATACCCGTATATCAATTTGCTAAGTGACAGTTTCATTATGAAACATCTTGTTTGTGAAAATCTATTGTTATACACAATAAATCGGTGATTTTGGAGTCAGCTGCAGACCTGACCCTCTAATCTTCATCCTAAACCTCCACCACGGCTGAAAATTATACCGTCCTCTCCCTGCGGCCCATCATGTGTTTCAGGTGGTGATTATACTGCAGACAGGGCGCATTCTGACGCAACATAGAGACAGAGAGAGAAAGACATCAAGAAAGAGGGAATAAGACTGTTGGAGAAAAAAGAAAGACGGGTCAGCAGTGGGATGTGTTTGCGCAAGAGGGGCGTCATCCCAAAAAGCTGATATCCCCACCAGAGCCGCACCACTGAAGTCATTACTGTGGGACACACCCAAGCTGGCTACACGACAAGGAGAACTTTAAGAGTCACTATACAGGGACAACTGGAAAGATTCACAAACACACACACAACATCCAAAGAGTGTTACAATCTTCCCAGGAATGTGAGAATGTGCTCTTTCAAGCACATTTGGCTGATTACTGTAATTGTTTTAGCATTAAATAATGATTTGCTGTTTTCAATTAACGTTTTTAAGAAGCAATTCTCTTCTGTTGTCAGCAATGTGCTTTTTTTAAATTGGGTAAAAGTGTGTGAGAGTGTTGGTGTGTGAATATGAAACTCTGAATGTGTGAAATGCAAAACCGCATCAAACGCATATCTTCACTTTGACCTAGATTCAGGGTCTAATTTTGTTTTGAAAATCATACAGGTTTTGAATATTAGGGTGAGTAAATGATGACAGAATTTTTATTTTTGGATAATCTAGAATGTGGGATCAATTACTATTTCATATCCCTTCACATACACAACTTTCATAGCATTTCAAATCTTTCACAGCGAGCAAGAGCTATTAAAAACGAACAGTTCACCAACAGAAATGCTGAAAATTGACCTTCCAAGATGTAGGTGCGTTTGTTTTTTTATCTGAACAGATTTGGATAAATTAAGCATTACAGTACATCACTTAATCACAAATGAATCCTCTGCAGTGTCTACACGCTTGCATAGGCTGACCTCTGACCTCCACAGTCCCCATAACAAAACAACACTCTCACACTTGTGGAGTCATAGAGAGTTGCAGTTTTCAATGGACATCAATGAAGATTCAGGTAGCAAAAAGACTAAAATTAAAATTAAATAAATCTTCATATCCAGGTCATACAACACAACCAGAGGGGGGGTACAACACATCCACTCGTTAACTACAACCATAAAAAATAATTTTTGTTACTTGAAATGAAAGAGAATGAGAGTCTAAACAGCTGATAAAAACATCAAAATAATCCACAAGTTTCCAATAATTTCCATAATCCAAATCTGTTCTGGTCAAGAAACAAAACCATGTACAACTTGCATGGCCTGCGGACAAATTTTAATTTTTGGGTGAACTGTTCCTTTAAGGAAGAGACACTCCAATCCAAATCCAAGAATCCAGCTGTTGTTCACTGCTGTCCACATGACATACAAACAAACTCTAACTTAGACTCAAACACAGTCTTCTGAAGAACATAATCACTACTTCTCCACCTTGTGCAAGTCAACTGCTGTATTCTGATAGGAGAAATGCAAACAGTGGCATGGACCTTGGACTAATATTAAACACTAGCCATCATCTATTGAACGTTGTACCAGTGACAGCGTTCATGTGATGATGAGTGGGGCGACTTACCCAATCTGTCTGTTGGTGGAAGGGGCTTGAGTGATGACAGAACTGGACTGAGGAGAAGGCAGTGCCTGCTGGATCACTATGCTGCCGTCGTGGTTGGCCATTCTTGAGTGGGTCTGCTGGTGCTGGTTAGGGCCCCCCTGCCCATGAAGAGTGATATTCTGTTTAGAAACAGATAAGAACACAGGGGTTTTTCACAGCTTTTCATACCTGGAGTAGGAGTGGAGTCCTATTGAAATGACTGGATTTAGCATGTGGAAATACATTAAACAACGGTAAATGTGATTGCACCTTATGAAAGTAGAACTAAAACTAGAAAAGAATGCATGAAGCACTCACTGAACATTATATACAGGGCCGTCCTTAGAGGGGTGCAACTGGTGCGGTCGCACCGGGCCCTGTGGCGAAACGGACAGAGGGGGACCAACTCACCTCCCCCCGGAACGCAATCGCGAACGGACCGAGGGGGGCCCCGCTCCCTACCTCACACCGGGCCCCGCGTCAGCTAAGGACGGCCCTGATTATATATATAGCAGCCTCTTTGGTTTAGGCCACTTTGACACACACCATACTTTATTTGATGTGTGAAAAATTAGGTGTTGTTGGTCAGAAATACACTCTCTTGCTCATTGAGGACCACACCTTGAAGGCACAATTTAAAGTTGCGCCTGTTATGGTTTAGAAGATAAACAAGTGCACAGAAATCTACTGAGTTCTTTCAGTAGTTTTCTTCATTTGCATCAACTTAAACCAAGTACTTTGTTGAAGAGGAGAGATTTGCCAAGAATAAATAGTGATTCTGACAGTGCCGTTTATTTGCAATGTCTATGTAGTACTAGTGTGCACTAAAGGAATTACGCACAATCAGGTTAGATGCACCCACAAAATCTGTGCTGAACACAGCAGACTACTGCAATCTGATGTACTTTACTGATACGAATTATAATGCTTTTGATCATCATTACACAAATAACTGCAACCATGATCAATCAAAAATGTATACAAACATCTCTTTCAGAAATTTCGTTCACCTCTTTCTGGCTTTTCAGTAATTGCTGCTTACTGCTTGTCTGATGACCTTAAAGGCAGAGTGAGTGATTTTTCAAAAATGCTTTAAAAACTGATTCGGGCCGAATCACAAAACAAACTTGTAGCCAATCAGCAATAAGGGGCGTGTCTACTCGTGATGTGGAGGAGAGCGCGTTCAGTGCATGGGACGGACATTAGCCGAGCCAGCGACAGAAAGATAGAGATGGCGGATAAAAAACAAAAGAGGAAAACGTCTGCGGAACGATAAGGCAAGAAGTAGGACCCGTGTAAATATCGGATCAGCTTTCCAGCGCTGGAGAGAACTCAAGGAGCGGAGGCCTGCGATCGGACGCCGAGGTTGCTTTGTTTCTTCTCAATAGGTGAGTAACACCGTGTCTACAACAGCTCTGCCTACACTGGACGCGATCAAACAACCGTTGAAAACCATTTGAAATTTGTGTCAGCACGACATAAATAGAACCCGGCAGCAGTTTTCTGTAGGGGATTTGTTGCGCCGCGCCGCTCACGTCCGTAGACACGGTGTAACATTGGTTTTGCTTTGATTCACAGAACTAATCGTTGCCTGGGTTGCGTACATATATGTGGGGCGGAGCTATCAAAATAGGGGCAAGACCCTTTTGGGGTAGGGGCGTGTTTGTTTTGGTGATTTCAAATATAAACATTGGCTACCAGAAATCACTTACTCTGCCTTTAACACCGTTAGAGAGTTAAAGCATGCCGTGTTTGTTTTAAAAAATAGCTGTGTACAGTACAATGAAAGGGAGCAAAAAATGCAGTAAGCAAAACTTTAGATCAAATTGGTTGGTCAGGTTTCCAGCTTAAAATTTGTCGCAAATAGGCTGCGATATAGGGCTTTCTGTTACATACAACATGAAGGGTTTACTGTTCATTTGGCTTGAAACAACGTACGTATGTGTGAATATATCCATGATTCATTAAAGGAACAGTTCACCAAAAGATTAAAATTCTTAATTACTAGATTTAATATATATATAATTAATTTATATATATATATATATATATAAAACACAGTATAAACACAGTATATAACGTTTCTTTACTTTCTTTTACAACGGATCAGACTTTATTTTAAAATTGATTTCTGAAAATGTGTTGTTTGGTTAATAACCTTAAGCCAAGTCTATTTCCAAATATTTAAAAACAATTATATTGTAATATAAAAAGGATTTCTTGTTCATTTGAGATGAGCATGTCCCTCTGGGAATATGAATAAACTGTACAAATGTTTTCATTATCATGTTATATGAATTTTTTATTAAACGTCCGTATAACTTGTGTCAATAATGTCTGTCATTCCTTTAGTTTTATTATTATTATTTTTTTAATTTTTAAAGTTTTTAAAAGTTTTCTTTAGAAGTTTAAATGTTAGAGTTATTTATTATTATTAATTAAATTCAAAGTGGTCAATGAAATGAGCTTATTGCTGTAAGTTGTAACTCTGATTTTATTCTAAAAAAATGATTAGAATATGACCCCAGAATTAGATCATTATAGACAGTTCTCATTCTGTTTTGTGTCTCGTTCCAGGTGGCCACCAATGGAATCATCTCAACTCAGGATCTTCCCATGGAGAAGCAGTATGTAGATGACGGCTTCCCCACCGACTTCCCTGTCATCGCCCCCTTCCTGGCTGACATTGACACCAGCAAAGGAAAAGGATCCATCTTCTACCGGCAGACGGAGTCTCCTACCGTGCTGAAGCGGGCGGAAGCGGATGTCAAGAGAGGCTTTCCAGATGCCACGTTCACCCCAACTCATGCCTTTATCGCCACCTGGGAGAATGTGTCAGCTTATGAGGAGGTCACCCGCAGCTCTAGCCCATCCAGTCGGGTAAGAGAACTGCTTATAGTCGTACTAAATCTGACCCTGAAGGTCTGACTTTACCCAAGCTCCATTTAGGCCAGGGGCGCCGCTCGCGTCCGTAGACACGGTGTAACATTGGTTTTGCTTTGTTTCACAGAACTAATCGTGTCCTGGGTTGCGTACGTATATGTGGGGCGGAGCTATCAAAATAGGGGCAAGACCCTTTTGGGGTAGGGGCGTGTTTGTTTTGGTGATTTCAAATATAAACATTGGCTACCAGAAATCCCTCACTCTGCCTTTAAATAAGAGTTTTGTGAATACGACGCAATCTATAAAGAGCTAAATTTACAAAGAAAGGGGCATGTTTGCGCTAAAAGGAAAGACAATGACTGGCACTATTTTCGCATCATGGTTAAACTGAACTGTGAAGTAGATTTTGCGTTAAATTATAACATGCTATTTAGCCCTTTAAACACACAGCATCTACCTGCCTTAAAAAACACATCCTTTAAACACAAGAGATTCGGCTTCCACATTTGTTTTCAGTATACTTAAGACAAGCGCAGCAGAATTCTCTAAAAAAGCTTTGGGCGATATCTCCCTCTCACCTGTCTGCGCCTGAGCTCAGCAAAGTCCTGCTACAACCTGCTGCTTGCTGACTTGGCATGGTGTACTAACCCTAAACCTCAAGTATAAACTCTCCAGATTAACAGACACCATCAGTTTATCTACAGCGTGGCTGTCAGGCAGACAGTATGGTGGTGGTCACTGAGCCCAGCCATCTTGTGACACAGTTGTGGTGCAAGTGGTAAAACAGTCATTAGGGTCGAAGGTGTCTGAATGCGTCATTGTCAGACCTTGACGATGCATGATGAAAACACCCGCAAGAGTTTGGTTATCACCATGGCTTTACAATTATCATCCTATTTATCACTTTGAAATATGACTTTTAAAAAGAAAAAAAAAACTTATTAGATACACACATATAACTTGCCATGATTGGCTTGCTGTACACACAAGACCACATTTGCTCCTGTTGTCCAGTAAATGGTTTGGCAAAGTCTCATCATATGTGTGCACATGTATAAGTAGTGCAACATTTAAAAATTGGTCAACCAGTTGAGTAAACTTGAAGTAGAACTGCCTATTTGTCCAAATAAAGCAAGATGAGAGGAGTGTTGCAAGTAATGCATAAATGGAACAAGAAAAGCCGGTTAGAAGTTCTGTATGTATACCTACTGCCTATTATAGAGCAACCGAACCATCATGGAACCTTATAAGTGACTGAAAGTAACCAACTTGAGACGTTTTCAAAAGAGTCCGAGGGTAGCTAACCGTACAATACTCTAACTATAAAATATATAGCACACACAAATGCTGGTTATATTAGTTCATTTGGAACTATTTTTAACAATATTTACATGCTTCTAGCTACACAAGCTTTGTTGCAAATGTATATTGCATTCTCAGCATTGTGGCAAGAGGGTCTATAGTGGTTATTAGCATGCATATCTTATTTCAAGGTCTGCCACTGTCAAGGCAGAATGACAGTTTAGAGAAATCCTTGCAAAGTTAAGTTCAAAGTTGCTTAAGTTAGTTTGAAGTCAGTATACTCACATACTTATGTGAAGTGTGTTTCTGGTTTTAGACCTGAATCGAGATATCTTAGCAGCCCTAACGTAGTTGCATACCTTTTGGAAAAGCATCTTACATCAAAAACAAGGCTATGATGCCTTAAAATAGGCAGCTCATAGAGTTCTGGAAAAGAGTGTGTGGATATTTGATATCCAGACAAACAACTCTCTTTATGAACACAACTGTCAATCAGTTTGAAGCTCAGCTGCCACATGTGATCTCTGGGTGTATCTTTACCTGCTTCAGCAACTGAACCTCCACCTGCCTACACGTCGTGTATGTGTGTGATCTGTCCAAAGCTGAAAGTCTTCAGTGACTCGTTGTTATGGTGGATGTGGTAATAGTGACAGCATTGGGGATCACAGCTGCGAGACCCACACTATAACCTCACCTGTTTGCTGTCCTCCTCCTCCTGAGCCTTGCAAAACTCCTGTTCGATGGAGCAATCCAGCTCGCTGAAGAGACCCACTTCCTCACAGTTCTTCAAGAAGCGCGTTGGGGTGGGTGTCTGGTCTAGAAACATTGAGGAAAAAAAATCTGTCAAAATTTAGCAGGGCGTGTTAGTTTAACTGTTTACAGTGACAATGAAGGCCTAATGGGTTTGATCATCAAGGAAAACGCCCCATTTTGGTACATGTCTATTCATTTATTCATAAATACATATTTACAGATTCAGTGGCACAAATGCACTTATATGATGCACATTTTTAATTTCTGAATTTAAATTAATTTTAATATTTTTGAGGGCATGAAGTGAAAATATATCAGGATGGTACAACTATGATAATAATAAAGTAAAATTATCACATTCTATTTTTACCCAAATTTAAAATTAAATTTTTAATTTATTACGGTCAGTTATTGTCAACTCTGCATGAACAAAATTCTGAATGTTGGCTTCCTGATGACAACTCTGCATCTCTGCACACACGTTTGTTCAAAGTTCAAAACAAGTTTGCGGTAAATTCCCTATGCAAATTGAACCTAACCCAAACAGCTAAATAAAAGCTTCTGGCGGGACCATGTGGTCCGTGGCACTAGGATGCATTTCTAGCTTCATGCCGTGTCTCTCTCCACTCAGGCTGTGATTCTGTCCTTTTCATTATTTACCCTTGTCAGAGTGGCAGATCAGATTTCTGGGATCAGCTTTGGGTTTCTCACTCGCTTCGCATTCTTTTACATGCAGGCCCTTCTTTCAGTTACTCGAAGGTGCACATGCGTTTCTTCACTCACTACCTCTCGTTTGCTCAGCCTCTTTCCCTCAAACACACTCCATTGAAAAATCACACACACCTCTTTTGAGTTTGTGGTGGGATGGTAATTTCTAGCCGCTACTGGAACCACATAGTAACTCATTATCTTGTACTTTATCAACCCCACGATGAATATTACAGTCTAGACTGAACCGCACATCCAGGACTCGTAGAATCCTGTCAAGAGTTTGATTTCAGGATCCCTGATCCATGACGTGCACAGTATCTTGATAGAAGAGGATGAATTATATAGATATATTTAGATGTAAATACTCTTGCATATTATTGATAACAAATTAGAGAAAAATGAGAATGTCCAAAAAAGTTTAAAAATGCATGTGCCAAGGTCTTTTTATTCATGGCTTCATAAGGTTATAATTATCAATAACTCATAATACAATTAATTATATGTGACCCTGGACCACAAAACCAGTCATAAGGGTCCATTTTTTGAAATTGAGATTTATACACCATCGCAAAGCTGAATAAATAAGCTTTTCATTGATGCATGGTTTGTTAGGATAGGACAATATTTGGTCGAGATACATCTGAAAATCTGGAATCTGAGGGTGCTAAAAAATCTAAATATTGAGAAAATCGCCTTTAA